GACCCACACTGGAGTTACAGACAAATTCCAGATTATTCTGGGATAATTCGCCCTCAGTTTCGCCACATTCTCAGGTGGGCGTTTCAATCAGGCCGCTCATTGCAAATTTGGCAGAAGGTCCCTGTGAATTGCAAAGACATACTGATGAATAAAACTTTAACCAGTGATGTTTTTGGACCACTTTTAACCTCTGGAGTGATGTGTTCTGAATAGATTGTTCAATCTGTGTTTATGGCATAAAACTTTAAATTCTCCAAAGTCCCCAACAACGTGGCAGCATTCAACCATCAGTATGGAGGCGTATCACCGATACGAAAGCAATGTACACAGGACAGGAATATAATTCTACAGAGCACATCAGAGGACAATAAACAGGCTTCTTTAAGGCACATCTGTGTGGTCTTACTTCCCATGTGACTTGGTCCAAACCCATTCCTTAAGAACAATGGTTTTTGAGATTATATTTTTGTGGGCTCCTACTGAGGGCATGACTTTCCTGACATTCTGTAAAATACAGCCCTACAAATTCAGGTAACTGCTTTCCTATTGTATTCCTTTTATGTCCCTATTCTGTGTCTATATAAGTGATTCAACAGCCAATCAGAGTTTTGCTGCCTCCATAGAGGACAAATCAAAATGTTATGTGACTGCAGTAAATCAAAGTACAACACAAATGCTCTGGGGAATCTATAAAAAGTTTAATGGGGAACTTCTCAGTGAATTAAGCTATTGAATTCTCTTCATCTGAATGACAGCGGAGAAAAACAGCTGTGGTGAATGCTATCAAAGTACATTTTTAAAGGGAGTTCAATAGAAAACCAACAGCGGCGGCAGCCCCGACTGTGAGAAAAGAGGAGGCATAGCTTAAGGACTTTACCACAGTAAGCCACGGAACAATGCCGCGACCAGGAAATGATCTGCAGTGACAAAAAGGGGGCTGCATCATGAGCTGACCGCTCAAATGCATTAAATAAATGCTCCAATGTATCCCTTACAACCTGAAGCCAATGTATCAATTAACACCAGAATAGATGCACTAGTTCGGCAGATTTCCCAAGATGTTCCCAATCGCCGTCAACTTGAAGGAAAATAACTCAGAAGTTCATATCACACCAGCCAGAGGAAGGACAGTCTTCTCCAAACCCAGCAGGACTCAGACAGTTAAGCTAATCCTATACAGTGCATGTGGAACATTTCTGCTCGGTCACAGCGATCTTGGTGAGTCTCCAGGAAAGGTGTTAAGGCCAGATGGGTTCAACAGCAGTGCAGGTACCAGGCCAAGTCCGCCGTTTACTTGGGAGAAAAGGCAGTTTATGTTTTAAATGATGCATTGCTTCCCCTGGAGATCTGTGAAATCGAACCACCACTTCAAGGCTTAAATGACACGGGTGTGTGGGGACGAGTAGCGGGTACAACTGAGAAACGCTCAAATGAAACAGCAACACAGTGAGTGACAGTGCCAGTCAAAAGCATGGATTAGCCAGTAATGCCCAGAATACGTGGCCTCTGCCAGCCGATATAACCCCCCCCCCCATGTGGGTAATTTAGTCACCTGTCCATTTCACACACAAAGGACCCAAACGAATTCAATACATGTCCAACAGAAACAGCAAACCCTGGAGCAACACCTCACCTCACAATTTTACATGCAGACACTGTAGCCTGAATCCACCATGGAAAAAAAAAAAAAAAACACTGAAAATAAATTTTGAAGAGAGTTCATCATTTCCTGGGGCTTTTCCCTGCGGCTCAGATGTTGAATTAGCAAGAAGCCCAATGCAGAGTTTCTAAGCCATGCTGTTTCCATTCAAGCATTCCTGAGGAAATGCTAAAGCAGAAAAACACAGATGCGTGCTCAGGGTGACTGTTAAAGCCAGTGTGTTGTTAAAGGATTTTGTACAAATTAAGAAAAAATGCAAATTGCTGTAATTAAAGATCTATAAGAAAATGAACTGAAACATTATCAGCAGTATGTGATGTGTTTTTGTTATACCAAAGTCATAAATTTAAAAAAATGTTTGCCAAATCAAAGGATTGTACGGACATCTCTTAAATAAAAACATCTTCAATAATTACGTTTCTTTAAAAAGAGCTGCATGTACATTTTTATCTTTCTTTTGGTTCATGTTTTAAGTTTCTTTTTTGATGATTGCAGATGAGATGTGGCTGGAAGCTGACTGGGGGCCGCAGTGGGAAATCCACGTCCCAGCTGGCACTTAAACGCCACCCACAGCTCTGCCAAGCCCCTGCAGGATGTGGCTGCGCGATCCGCCGTGCGGGAATGATTCACACGACACCGGCCTGTTGCGGCGTTGACTCCCGATTTCCTGATGCAGAGGTGGAACCAAGAATGCAATGAAGAATGTTTAAGGAGCACATCTGCTCGGGTTCACTGGTCCAGAGAGGCCACACTAAGGCCCAGGGGAGTTTCTAGCTATTGAAATGATCAGTCAAAATTACCTGGGGCTTGACTAGTTTTTTGAAGGAAGATTGGCATCAGAATACTCGGTGCTATAGCCTCACATGATCGGACCTAATGAAGCCCATTCTAAGACCGCCAGACAGCCAGCCATCAGATAACGTACTCAGCTTACCCTCACCAGAGTCCCGAGCAGCAATACTCACAGCAATACTCACAGCAATACTCACAGCAATACTCACAGCAATAAGATATGACTGGGCCAGAAAAATTCTACCAGATGACACCCCCCCCCACTACCACCAGCACCACCTCCCACTCCCAGGGTTGGTCTGGCCCTTTTCGGAGCCCTAAGCGAATTGCAGCCAGGAATTCGCCAGGGTTGGGGGTGCTGACAATAAAATTTTCCGGGGGAGGGGGGTGGGGGGTGGCTTTCAGGAGGCTCGATCATTCCATATTCCCTGAAGGGGGGGCCCTTTAGTGGCTGGGCTCCTGAAAGCCTTCTCTTTCTCCCTACCCTCTATCTCCATAGCAAACACATCTTCATGCACCATATTATGCTTATGGTCTCGCACTGGTTTCTAAATGACTCCAAGCAGACGGAGACCGCACCATACTCAGCATTTCATAGCCCACAGATGAGTCAGAGATTTCAGTGACACCATTTCCCAACCCTCTTAGAACACGGGTGTGGCAGCAATAGGCAGTGGCCAGAAACAGAGGGATACAGTGTCTCTCTCAGCTGGGGGGGGGGGTGTGGTTCATGAATCTGCCTCCCCAGGAGGTGAGACAGCAGATTAGCAGGGTGGGAAGCTGGTCTTTCCATCCAAGGAGACACCCTTTGTCTCAGCCTATGGTTGCGGAAAAACTTGCACTGCTTCGAAGACACATTGTCTCTTATGTCCATTATTGTCAAGTGTGCTGGGCTTCATAGATTGAATACTGGAGATTGTGAAAACACCAATCTGATGCATGCTTGAAAGGGAGCAGATGTAGACCATGCAGCTGGGGGGGTCCCAGTTGCGTTAATCTGGCTCCCGCTCCCGCTGATGTTCCCCATACCTCTTCCCTCGCACCCCGAGCAGCTGGATAAGTGCTACATTAGCCCCAGCTGAGATCGTCACGTTCAGTGCCCCCTCCATTACTGTTTCCACGGGGGCCCTCAGCAGGCCGCCGACGACAGCAGCCTGTCAGCGGCTAACAGAATTACGCGGTGGGCGTCGGCTCCACAAGCCAGAGGACCTTCGTTGGGAAAGATGCCTCCTTCTGGCTGGTGATTTTACACAAGCAGTGTGAAAGTCTGAGCCGATAATCAGAATATCCCCAAATGGTTCTGACTGGAAAAAAAAGCAAATCGCATGACAGAGGAACATGAACAGCAAGCTAACTGGCACCTCACACCTAGCATGACCACTAAATCCATGTCAGGAAGGAAACATTGAGCTATTATGATTATGTAAGACTGATCAATCAGTACAGAGCGAGAACTCAGTGCTTAAGTGGAATCCGGCCCCAGGTCCATTTGATGGAAATGGAAGTTTCCTGTCAAAGTGTCCTCCCTGACATGGTGGTAACTCTACAAACACCTCAGAACCACTATGTTTCACGTAGCTTATTCTGCCTCCCTGCTTTGGTCTGCTTCTTCGTAATGAGGATGCAGTCCCTTGCATCCGTTCTGCGATTTAGCCCTGAGTAGGTCGTTCATGAGTGACACAGATAAAGCCCTAAGAGATTTCAGCTCAGGACTTGTGAACAATGACAAATTCCGCTCAAATTCTTTAGGGTCACCTGAAAACTACTACTGAAGCAGCAGCACCTCAAGGATTGTGCGTTACATGCAGTGCAGGTTGACGTTTTATGTGCAGTGCATGTTGACGTTTTACGTGCAGTGCAGGTTGACGTTTTATGTGCAGTGCATGGTGACGTTTTATTTGCAGTGCTGGTTGACATTTTACGTGCAGTGCATGTCGATGTTTTATGTACAGTGCATGTTGAAATTCCAGGATCCATGCTGAGAGTTGATCTGAGAATCTCAAGTCAAAAAATAAAGAGAGTGATCAAAACAGCTCATTAAGGCTGCGCTGCTTTGAAGAGCTTCTGTGGAAGCTCCTGTGTTGGACAGGAATAAAATAGTGGATAAAGTGCTTTTGTTCGTTTGTGAATAGCCAGGCAGCCACACACCCAAATAAGCCAAAAACCGACGTGGAATCCCTCTGCTCAACAGGCTCACTCAGCGAATCACCAGAAGATAAACGGTTTACACTGCTCCAGCCAGTTTTGCCCACCTTGTTACACTGGCTTCACATAATACACTACGGTAATAACCTGGTATTGCTCCCACAGGTGGTCCAGGACTTGAGCGAGGGTCATGCCTTTGACTCGGGGAGCCCTGTCAAGTGAGCACTTTCTCTGAGGGGCTACAGCTGCAGAGGACATTTGCTACCTTATGCTGGGTATCAGCTTTCCTGACTGCAACTGAGACCCTCAGGTGGTGAAAGTCTTACCCAGAACATTCCTCCTGTGGTTGCCTCTAAAAATCAAGTACATTACATTTGCAATACCGACTATTGTGACCAATGCAGAGAAATAGGCGTATTTAATGCAAATCACCATGGCAACAATAAAAAAGCACCTGACTCACCTGCACCGTTCTCACATCTTCACATCTGCCTTCAACTGGCTCCACCCCAGACATCGGAGACTTAAGTGCCGTCCCAGTGCTTTCAAATATCATCAGTCATATCTGAGGAACACCGTGATCAGAGCTTTGAATTATACGCAAAATGCATGCCGCACAGTGGCAGTGTAACACACTACAAATCAAATTTATGGATATTATTAAGCTCAAAAGTATCCAGTCGGAGTGAAATGTTTCCTGAACAATACATCACATGCATATAGCCCAGGTACATTAGAGAGCCCAGATTAATAGTGGGACCAGTATGAGTGAGTGGTGTAATCCTAGCAGCTCCCCCACCTCCACCTGACTCCCAGTTACTCCTGATTGTCCTTTAATCATCACCGTCACACACTGGGAATTCCACTCTGGAAATCAATGCTACTCAGCTCTCCCCTGTTCTCCGAACCAGCTGCTTAAGAAAGCATATAGATATGGGCCTTTCATCTTCCCAAGTGTTGGCCCAAGTGTTGAATTGAGGGGATTTTCTCCTATGCTAAGAAGCAGGCTCCCTCATGTGGAAATTTTTATAGAATTTTATGGTCTATTCCCTCAACAAATACACTACAGGGCTTTATCTAAATGGCTGAATGTTTTGCTGGGATGCTCTATGGAGACATCTGTGGCAATTTCATGATGGATCACATGATCACAATGCGTAGCAGGCCTTTTCTACTGACGGATGGGGATTTTTTTACACTTCATCTTCTCCCCTGGATCTGTTTATCCGGCTAGGACAGCTGTGAACTGTCGAGCCTTTGTAGTGCTTTGAGACACGGAGCTGAAGGTTGCTAATGTTGATGGTGAAGGTGTGTGCCACGCGTAGCTGTCAACACTGGCTTCAGGAAGAGCCGTGATGGAAACGCAGGACTGTCATTTCCAGGTTATTTACTCCTATCTATGAATGGATTCGTGGAAAACCAAAAGTAGGAAAATAAAGTGTAAGTGGAGCTTGCAGAGGGCCTCAGGTGAGGATTCTGTGGATCTGAACAATCTGTTCCAGCGAGCCTGTGCAGACAGAGAGGGAGCCCCCTTTCGGCACAAACCTGGAAGTAGGAACAGAACAAACTAAACATCCCTGCATATTTCCCTGTCTAAGCTATATTGATTTTATATATATCTGCTCCATAGGTGCATAGATGTTTTCCAAGCCAAAGAGGATCCACAGAGCACATGAGCAGAATATCGCTTCTCCTTTATGGTTCTGCCTAAAAGGCTCTCGGGCTCCACGCACTGTGCAACGAGCCAAGATGAACGTGACCCTCATTTTAAGACCCATAGTTTGCATTTTCTCCACACATATACTTTGAGTTTCCTGCGTACCTACTGAGCCATATGTAACAGTGTATTCAGGTGCAACAATAAACAAACCCAAGATCAGCATCAAAGGCGATGCAAGACTGTCATTATGTCATAAAAAACACACCCAGACAATTAAACAACAGGAAGTACGCAGAACAGTGTATAAAACAGTCCATGGTGAGAATCAGTCTTGTATTGTCTATCTTGTATTGTGTGTTTAAATAAGATAAATGCATTGTACTTTCAGTCTGAACTTTGTGATCATTTTGATACTAAGTGTTCCTCCAACTTTGTCTAATAGCTCAGTGTAGATCATAAATAATTTGCTGCGAAAGCTGTGGTGAAAAATGAAAGGAATGAAATATCACTCAGCCAATGGAGGACTATTCCTCTGTCCGTTTAGCTGATACAATGGGAATGTGTCACACTAAAGCTTTCCAGTCGCGCCACAGCAAGTCAATGAGCAAAATAGTTTACTGTCGATTAACTTTTGAGTGTGGCTGAGCAAACATCTGCTGAAATGGAAAGTGTCAACGCTTTCAGGTGAAGGGCAGTCAACCAACACGTTTTCTTTTGGATGAACAGACCAACCAGAGTGTTTAACCCTAAATATAGAAGGCTGCTTAATGGCATTAATGCTGGCTGTAAGTTGGGCTAATATTCCACAATAAAAATATACCCTAGATATTGTACATTTTTCATGACAAGATATACAAAATAACAGGGATTATTCAGCATGCCATTAAACTGAGATTTAACAGTATTTGATGCATTTTAAAGTAATAATCAAAAGGAAATGTATACTGTAGAAGGAGAAAGAGTATGTGGTGGTCTTTTAATTTCCATACTGCAGCGTTCCATATTGTGTTTTTGCAATATAGCAAGATTGGATGAAAACACTACAGTAGACCTCAAAGAATAACCTCGACTAGCTGGTAATTATGTATGTTGTATTTATAAGAGACCAAAAAAAAAGATAAATAGCAGCTATTTTTATTTTAGTACAGTGTAAACTCAAACAGTGTATTGTGCAAATAAAACAATAATCCAGCAATCTAAATAAATTTGAATTTCCTCTACAACATTTTCATACATCATCAAGCGAGTTTTCATCATACAAGAATGCCCAAATGAGGGAATCCCAAGCCCAGACTAATTTACATCAGGACCACCCTTGTACCTGCAGTATACTGTAGATAAATAGTTTGTCAAAGACTTCTTTCTGTGTGAATGGGCTGTTGTGGTAACCAGGGTCAATACAAGACAGCTGTTGGGTTAGGCAGCGTTGACAGCTGTTGGGTTAGGCAGCGTTGCCATGACAGCCAAGGCGAAGGCCTGCTCCCCAAGTGACCAATCGCGTGGCCTTGTGCTTCCAGATAAGGGTCGTGTTCTGTGGTTCCTGCCGAAGCTTTAATAACTCACCTTGTATGTAGTTTCATCTGCCTGTGAGTGCAAAGACGCCCAGGCTGTAATGACAAGTTCTAAACCCCCTCATGCCAAGTGCAGGGGGTGCTGTCAGCTCCATTAAGAGAAGTTCCCCTTGTGTGAATTGTGGTGAAATTGCTTTTCATAACGTCTCACTAGAAGCCCCCCCAGGTCAGCTCGAGCAGGCATTGCGGGAAACCCCTAATTACTATTCATGACAGGGCTGCATTAGCATTGCGTTAACCTTTCGGAAACACACAGGTGTTGGGGGAAGGGGTCAGATTGCAGTTGGCTCCATTTTTTGCTCTTTCAGTCAATCCCTTCTAATTCCATCACCTTTCCTGACCCTCCCTGGTCCCTGGTCCTCACTGCCCGCCTTTCACCCACCCTCTGAGACCCAGCTGACCATAAACTTCCACCTCCCGCTGCCCCTTCGCCTCAGAAGAGCGCATCCCCTCCTCCTTAACCCTGCCCCGTAACCATAAGCTCTTCATGAAGAAATCTACTCCAAGGTTAAAACCCTGGCACCCTCCGCGACCAGTAGAATGATCGCTTTCTCTGCTATGTTGATCAACGGTGGGCAATCTTATCCAGAAAGTGCCGTTGGATATACAGGTTTTGTCACAATTCCCTAATTAGGTCACTAATTAGAGGACTGATTGGCTAAAGAGTCCTCACACCTAGGCTTGAACAGCTGACCAAAAGGTCAGGTTACCCCAAAAACCTGCATATACACTGGCCCATTCGGATAAGACTGGTGTACAGTAGATGCAGGGAGTACTCATGGTCTATTCATGCATAATTCAGAGCCGCTGTATTGACATTTACTCTGGGCTGAGAAAGGGCGTGGCCAGGGGAGGCATTGTAGCTTAAACGAAGTCCCACCCCCCCTAAATTTCAACCAATCAGAGAGTGCTGCAATGTGATTGACGTGTGCTCTCCAGCTGCTGAGCAACAATACCAGATACCAAATATTGTCCCTCCTGGACCTGAGATGACTTAATCCTGGCTGGAAAGCTCAGGGTGAATTGAGGGAAGCTCGGGGCAGGTCGCTTTGCCAAATTTCTCCAAGTTCTTTTCCAGGCCTCTGCCAATCACCAGCGTGCTGCTCGTCTCCCACTAGGAGTCACACGTCTGATTATGTTTTCATTCATTTTCGATTCTTTTCCATCACTGTGGAATTTAATTGGGTGACGTGCCGTGAGCCCTGGCTTTGGGGGCTGTCACACACATGGTCGTGCACAGAAGTGTCAGCGTGCGGCAAGCGAGATGGACAGAGCAGTAAATCCACCACGAGCCACCAGCCGTGGGCGGGAACACAATGCAAAATAAGCTCAGATTTATTTCTGAGCAGCTTTTTACACTGTGGCACACAAAGTAAACACACACTCCTGCCTTGTGTAGGCTCTGATTTCCAGACCTCCCACTCACTCCCAGCTGCTCTACATATTTGTCCTGCTTCACCACCTGACAGCCTGGTCACACCAATCAGCTAATTGTTATCCACAAAATGACCCGAATCAGGTATGCCGAGTGTGAAATATACATTTACATATTTAGCAGACACCTTTATCCAAAGTGACATATGTTTGAGAAAGCAGGATCAGGCACTCTCTGGAGCCGCTGGGGGTTAAGAGCCTTACTCAAGAGCCCAACAGGGACATCACTCTGCCAACCATGGGATTTGAACTGGTGACCTTCTGGTACAGCACATTCATGTGCTCAGCCACACACCATCCCCCCACCAAATACTAAATATATGAAATGGCGGGGGTGATCGGGAAGGGATTGGGGAGCTGCTGACGTAGAAAAATGCAGAGTCAGACAATGGGTGCAGTGAAAGAAGACTCAACACCTCATTTCATTGCTAGTAGGGACAATTTACAATTTTAAAGCAGAAAGTATTATATGACTACATGTTATGTCATACTGACTGCATAGCTGCAAACTGCAATGAAAACACAGGCCTGTAGAGGGCAGATGATCGACAGAAAGGTCAGCCAAGTGGATGGGTCCTCATGCCATTATCTGCTTTTTTACGCCGAAACATGACTGCGCCAATAGAGCTGTCAACTGTCTGTCATTGGCCATCAGTCCCGTGATTCCATGCCGTCTCCCCCTCAGCCTTGGGCGGCATGTGTCATCCCTGGCTCTCAGTCCCCCTCCGCTGCTCGTTCCGGTGCCAGGCTGTCTGGGGCACAGGTCCAGGCCTTGTGGGGGCGCCAGGAGTCCCACAGGGGGCAGTGCAGAGCCCTTCGAATGCAGGGCAGATTTAATCAACAGTGGCAACTACGCTACTTAACACTGACCTCAGGTGCAAAGGTCACTCAGGAAACACA